CTGCTAACTGCCTGTCTGTTTGTTGCCAGTCTGCACACTGCCTGTCTGTTTGTTGCCAGCCTGCACACTGCCAGTTTGTTTGTTGCCAGTCTGCACACTGCCAGTGTGTTTGTTGCCATCCAGCTTATTGCCAGTTTGTTTGATGCCAGCCTGCTAACTGCCTGTCTGCTTGTCGCCAGCCTGCTTACTGCCTGTCTGTTTGTTGCCAGCCTGCTAACTGCCTGTCTTTTTGTCGCCAGCCTGCTCACTGCCTGTCTGTTTGTCGCAAGCCTGCACACTGCCAGTTTGTTTGTTGCCAGTCTGCTAACTGCCTGTCTGTTTGTTGCCAGCCTGCTAACTGCCTGTCTGTTTGTTGCTAACTGCCTGTCTGTTTGTTGCCATCCTGCTCACTGCCAGTTTGTTTGTTGCCAGTCTGCTCACTTCAAGCCAGTATGTTGCCAGCTTGCTAACAATTGGCCTTCATGCTCACTGCAGCCTGCTTGAAGCATGCATTTTTTGCAGTTTGAACAAAGACCACAAGACCAGTCAAGCATTAATTACCTATAGGCCCATCTTCAAAGAAACCTACCCAGTTTATTATGTTGAAGTTTAGCATTATACATCATGAACCCCCAATGTTCAGTCAAATTATCCTTTGTTATGTATACAATAACAAATACTGAAATCAGTCAGTTATGAAGGTCGTGTTTAATTGTTTAATATTGTTTAATATTACGTACAGTGATTTTAGGTACTTCCAAGATTTGTATCTTTAGGTTTATGGAGCACTTTGACCTTTTTAATTAGTTTAAGTACTTTATTATGTATTCAAGCCATTCAGCTATAGATTTATTACTGTACCCCTATATATTCATCTAAAATAGTGTATTTTGAATTGATTTTTTTCCATCAGATTTTGAATTCAATGAAAATTTAGTTTAAGTATGGTTTTGAGTTTATAATTTTATTATATAAATGAGACACACAGACTTACTGTTTATACTAAAGGACATTGTCCTATTTTAATCTGCTTTAAAATCCTAACACTTTACAAAGTTTGGCACTGCAGTGTTTTGGCGCAGCAATCCTTTAAATCACCATAATGCACAAGCCGGTTAAGTGAGTTCGTTGTTATTTTCGTGCAAGGAGTCTTAAGAGTATTTAAGAGGCAGAACCAACTTCAAAGTTTCCAACATTTTTTAGAACGTAATTTTAGCGGAGCTTCTGTATGTCTTAAGTTTTAAATAGATAGGAAGCACTTAGCCGAAGGTTGTTGATTCTTCTAATGTGCTTAGAAATTCAGTATCTTGGTCGCCATGGCAACTGTGTTATCTTATAAAGACAACATATTGCCCTTAGAACCAAATATGATCATAATATCTGTCATTGGAAGGTATATATTTACATTTTTCTCAAAGTCAAGGGCAAACTAAGTTGTTAATTCCAATTCATTGCAGTGAGAAAAAAAATTTCTCCGAGATTTCATGAATGAAAAATTACCAATGGTAATAGTGATGTATGTACATTGTCGTAAAAAAGGTGTGAAGGTGCCATAAAAAAGCACCTGAATCCCTGTGTCTTTATTGTATCATATTGTATCATTTAAGAGCTTAATATGCACTTAAGATAGCGAAGCCGGTTTATTCATTGTAATTGATTTTCACAAGTCGGTCAATTAAAATGAAGTACTTCGCTCCGGTATCCCATTTTTTACGACTCTAGAGGCAAACACAATGCATGATTTGTTGTAATATTACGAGATCTTTTGTGCCGATTGACGTCATAACGGTACTGCGATTTGTTAAATAGTGTCAATAGGTCTGTGGAGTGTACGAGTACACCGATTTAAATCAATTTTAAAGCAGTCGGCCTTGTTTCAACATAATAAGTGCTCATTTCTAAAATTGGGATATAATATTAAGTGGTGGGAATGATTAAATATACTTAATTAGATGTACAAGATTTATTCACATGAGTAGAAAAAGGGTGAATATAAGTTTTTATTACATTTTTAACTTTTAATCTATTGATTCCATTCAGTGGTTAAAGATCAATATGGGTGTAAGCCTTATTTGGCATGAGATCATTTATATATTATTTTTTTGGATCATGAATGCATTACCCCTGCTGAAGAAAGAGCATGCCCTTGTTTTAATTGCGTCATTACTATCAAAAATCTCGGTTCATCGGTGTCAATAAATATTGGACGGCCTCCTAAATATTCTATGGGAAATTTTATACTTTGCTAATGTTTACAAAAGATAATTGTTGGACTACTCAAATTGACCAAACAGAAAGAGAGTTTGGAGTACTTTAATTGGAGGGAAAGTGTTTTATTTGGATCAAGTATTTTGTGTGGATGTAAATATTTAACATCTGAATTATTAGAAGTCTTAATTCAAGATGAACTGCCATCAGTGGTTGCTGGTTACATAATATATACTGTAGGATTCTGTTCATTCTGTAAGGTTTTTTGAGATTAAATAATCTTTAATTTGTAATGCTGTAAATCTGAAATTGTATGGCTGAAAGAATTCTTGGGATAGCCTGTTTTCTTTTGTTAGAATATCCTTCTGTCTTTCTGTCTGTCTGTATGTCAGTCTGGCTGTTACTACTGTTTGACCGCAAGACTGTTTCAAGTCCTTCTTTATTTCATATAAGTTACCGCAGTTTTGCGGTAAACCCTCGATTATGATGATTGACATGATGAGAATATTTTCATTTTTCGGTGTCATGGTGATCTTGATTCCTTTCAACTTATGTATCATAATTTACCACTATGAACCCTGAGTTCTTCAATTATAAAAAGCTATAAGACACATTTTGTTTAAGGTATGACTTAGATATAATAAGCATTGAAAACAGTTAACAAAATGATGTCTTCAATGAATTATATACTATTCAAACTACATAGGAGAGGGATCAACCATATTTATGACTAAATGTGTCTAGGGGAAGCTAGGTCTAGCTCATCATGCCTTTTACCCTCTGCATGGTTACTTGTTACAGGATGAAAACAATGTTTAATTTACAAAAAAATTATCTATCTTGTTTAAGTGATGGTAACTGAAATTGTTAATCTACAAAAAGTTTTGAGTTTTAGTGGCAATACGTTGTTTTTAGATATACAATCTTAAAGAAGCAGTAAAGAAATTTAAGACTTCTTTTAAGAAAACATTTTCTCAGCTATGGAGCAACAGTGTGCTGTGACTTTAACATGACAATAGAAAAGCAATTTGTATAAACCAATTAGAATGATTTTTACAATCAATAACGGTGCCTTTAGGAATCTGAGGATGTGACACACAAAAGAGTTTTCTGTATTAAAGGAAGGATTTGTGGCCATCTATTCATTAGGAAGCAGTAACGATGCATTGCCTCGATGAATTCCTCTATAGAAGTATTTTTTCTCAAATATATTATACAATACAAAATCATCTATAAATACATGTAGGATATTCAAGTTATTTCTATAAATACAGGATATATTTTCATTTGTGGTATGAAAATAAATATTTCATGAGTGGCAACTTCCCTTGAAATTTTGTGTATTGGCTAAATTTAGAAAAAAGTAGTCCGGCAAGACACCAGTGAAAATACAGAAAATATGTTTCACTGCAGTAAAAAAACAAAGTTTTCCAATGAAAATATGGAAAATGGAAAAAATATTGTATTTCATCAATATTTCTGAATATTTCATTTATTAATATATAATATATGTAATATATCAACTCTTTGTTAAAAAGGTTTTCCAAATTTATAATATTGGTGAATTGCAGCTGATCGACTTGGACATTAAACAATTTCTTCAATTTCTTCCATGCGCATTTGAACTTATGTTTTCGAAGAATTATCGCCATGGTGCATCATAATTGTTGGGTTTTTATATTTAATCATTTTAACTCTTTCCCCCATGAGCAAAATATTATTGTGAAAAATGGCCATTTTCACTGAAAAGCCTCCTCTTACAAGTTCAAACTGCTATGAAACTATGAAAAATGTTTCAATACTAATCAAACTTGGCACAAATGTTGACTGGACCATTGCCTTTGGAACGACATGCTCAGTCTTAAATTTCCTGTTACCATGGCAACGAGGGGACATCTCAAAATTGCCAAAAATCACTATTTTGCCTCGATTTTTTCCATCAAAATTTATTTCAAAGTGCTGCAACTTCTCAAGGGATTGAGATAGAGTCAATGGCTTTTCAGCGTTGGTTACACGTTACCTTATGATCGACCTGGGGTCATTTTAAGCCTCTCACTAGTCCAAAAAATTTTTGGCGATTAGGGGGACTCCACCCCCTTCAAACCCCCCAAACAGAAGGGGGCACATCCCCCTTCTGGCAACCCCCTGATGTATCTTTTGGATGGGGGGCGGCGCCGAAAAAGTGCTCACTTTATACATTTCTCAAACTGAAACATGTGTTGGGGGCCCAAATAGGACATTTTTTCACTATTTCAGGCCTAAAAAGGGGGGGGGGGGTCGAAAGCACGTTGTTTCGCGTATATATGAGGTAAAGGGTTAAGCTGACTATTATGGGCCTTGCATGTCACATAATATTATGTACGATAATAAATAGGAACAGAAATCCTGGTTTTCTTTTGGACAATTTTCTATCACTTGTTTCACATTATGTAATGTAAATATAAATACAGCTCTCTCTTCATAAGAAAATCTGGGAATTTAAATTGATTATATTTATTATAAAATCGTTGACATGTTGATTGGAGAAATGTCATTATATAGTTCTTATCAAGTTATGATGGCTACAGTGAAACGACTAATAGCAACATCAGTAGTAATGTTGTCTTAACAATATTTTAAGCTTTAATGAAAAGTAAATAAAAATGTATTCATGTAACTTATTGGTCAAAACTAGCGTAAGCTTAATATCGGGTTTCAAGTACTTTTAAGATGAACGAAGAGGTACATTATGACTTTGTGGCTCACGAAAGTATCAGAGAATGTTTTTGTTCCTTTCATAATCATTATCAAGATCGTTTTTCTTATAATTTCAGAGTTCGTCATCCAGCTATGACTCGGCGATAATTGGGGAAGCCCATGGGCTCATTACGGACATGTTGGCTGACGCGAATCTTCCACCACATGTTGTCAGTGGTCTAAGAGCTGTCAGTAATCTACTCAAGCCTGCTGAACATCATTCTTCCATGCATAAAACCAGAGTAAGCCCCCTTGTCTCGCTCACAGAGTCCACATCGTACGGTTCCGACTCTGAAGAAAATCCATACACTGGGGAACGACCCTCATCACTACCAAAGGTATACTTTAAAAATTAACACTATTTGAGTCATTTAATATATTGTTTGGTTTAGAGTTCAAAAGATTTAGCTTTACTGATGGAGGATGACCTCCAATGCGCTAGCTCTGTGCATTATTTCAGCCAAGAGCGGAAGGACACCTTAGTTGAACCACTGCGATGTTAAATCCAACCAAAATTAAAAATTAAAAAATCTCGAGCTGAATACTGAAACAGATGCTTGAAATTTTAACAATAAAGATCAGATTGCTTAAACTCTTTAGCCAATTACATTACAACTGCCAGTGAGAAGTGAAAAGGCCAAAAGAAACAGCCACAACTGCCCATGTAAGGTCATATTTATAATAATATATCAAATTTCTACAATGTCATGACCCAATTTGGTCCTGACCCAGTTTTTGTATTCGAGACTTTTCTCAGTGACCAAGATTCTTCAGTGACAAAACCATAAATAAAATCATGAAATTTTAACACACATACAAATTTGTATACCTCTTAACTGGAAATTACTTTTTCTTTAGATCTCCTTCAGCATTTACATTTCATTATAGGCTTTTATTTGCAGAAGGCCTACCTAGGTATATGCTAATTATGACCCTCTTGTAAAATACGTAGCTTTAAACGGAAAACTAGCGTCATACAAAGTCAATCTGACTACAAAGTATTTACTTTGAGGCGAATTTTAACTAAAAACCTATTTGTTTTGTATAATATAGAGAATAAAAAATAAACAGAGATCGAATTTTTAATTTTTTAAAATTATCTATCTCGCATCATAGCTCGCACTTTTATTTTGCTTCAAAAAATAATTTAGTAGTTTGGTTCTAAAGACATTATTTGCAGACCTTTATTGTATTTTGTATCGTTTTGAAATTATATATAACAGTTAACTCATTAATATAATCATTCAGTACCACATGTAGGTTCAGAAATCTTTTATACATTAATTATGGAGTTTACATAAAATATTGGATTTTGTTAAGAAAGGAAAAAGGTATTTTACTTATATTTGACATTGTTTCCATCATAGATGTAAAAAGGCATATGGTATAATTAATGTATTTTCTTAGATGTAAAAAGGCATATTGTATATTTATATGTATTTTATTAGTTCTAGTTTTCTCAAAAAATTTGTTATTTCAAAAATTTAAAGAAAGAGGAAATGAAGTCGTGAAAATGAAAATGTTTGATGATCTCATTTAATTGTCAGAGAAATCCTTTTATTGTGTATCTCTATGATTATTTTCTCATTTCAGAGATTACGACGTAGTTTACCTCCAAGTTTACTACGTAGAATGTCTACCAGTACTTGGACAACCACAACATCGGCAACCGGGATGCCGACATTGGAGCTGGAGCCATGTCGTGTAAGAAGTTCAAGTTTCCGGCATTCCCGAGATACCACACCCGGTTCTAGTCCAGTCGAGAGCCGGAGCAATAGCCCGTCACCAAGTTCCCCAACAGTTGTTCTAACAATACCAAAATCACGTTCTTTTTCATTGGCAGCTACACAACCTTCCACTTCCTCCGCAAACTCGCACCTCAAAAGACTGACAAGAAAAAGTGTTACTCCATTATCAAATACAGATGGCGCCACGTCATCGAATAGTAAAATAAGTCCACTTGTTAAAGCAGAAATTCAGGACTCTAATGAAGAGCGTATGCGAATAACTGCTCACAACAAAGAGCACTTGACTTCCATTCGTAAAAATATAACGTCAGATTACGAGAGTTGTAACGAGTCTCCAAGTTCAAGTGATCATAGTGATAATATACCAACGGTGGATGAATTCTCAGCTTCTCCTCCGAAGAAAGTATCGGCAAGAGTTGTGGACAACACCGCACAACAGATAGCCCGTGTGGTACGTATCGTTGTTTTTCTTTCGTAACATTTGTATTAATCTTAATATATTTTTTACATCTATTTCTATTGTTTAGTCAAGATATACAACTCCTTTTGTAATTTCATGTATTGTAGCGTTGGCTTTAGAAACAATCTGTATATTGTAGAAACTATCTGTATATTGTCTTTTAGCAGGCTATTTTGAAGCCAGATTTGCTTTTGTCTTCTGTAACGCTGTAACTCTTTCCCTTTGTAGAGTATCTTTGTGTATCATGTATGGAAATTCCTTATACTAAAATATCATATATGGAAATTCCGTTTCAAGATTTTTTCTTACTGGTAAATCATGTCTTTTATTGAATCATTATCATTAATGGGATAATAATGACAATAAGAATGATATTTATAATAACATGACTTATTGTCATAAAAACTTAGAAAATAGAGAGAATAGTTGGTTTTCAATACGCAGATATAAGGCAATGACTAATATATTAATGACTTGATAAGATCTGCTAGATAAAGTTAATACTTACTAACGTCTTATGACTTTTATGTAAATGAGTACTTACAAACTAATGAAATTATATCAATATTAGTATGAATAAGTAATAGTAAAGTCAAAATTACAACAAAAAATTTCTTTTATTTTGGATTCTCATGAAGCTTGATGACTTTTGTTCTAGAACATTTATGTTTATGGTAAGGGGGTTTTAAATGGATTGTTCTTCTGTAAATATTCTAGGAAATATTATGATGATTAGTTGTACGTTGTCTTGTTTTAACACAGAAAGACAGATTTATTTTGTTTTATGGACTAATGTATTTTGTTAACCTCTCCTTCGTTAACTCTAAATTTTAAATGAACTGTCTGAACAAATTTAGCACATGTAGGGATAAGGAATTTCAGTGTTCTAATAATAATTATTAGTTATAATATAATAGTATTATTAGTTATGATAAAGTGATAATAATAGTGATAATGAAATAGTAATATTAGTTATAATAATAGTGATAATAATATATTGATGATAATAATAATAATAATGATAATAATAATAACAACATTATAGTTATAATAATAATAGAAATAATGATGATGATAGTGGTGATGATGATAGTGATGATGATAATAATAACAGTGATAATAATAATAATAAAGATAATGATGATAATAATGATGATGATAATTATGATGATAATAGTAGTGGTAGTAGTTATAATAGTAGTTATAATAAAAATAGTAATAATGATAATGATAATAATAATAGTAGTAGTAGTAGTAGTAGTAGTAGTAGTTATAATAATGATAATAATAGTAGTTATAATGATAATAATAATAATAATAGGAGTAGTAGTTATAATAATAATAATAATAATGATAATAATATTGAATCAGACAATAAGTTAATCAGACTGCATGGATTTTCAGACAGGCATGGCTATAATATTACTGGGTGACATCTCTCTCTATATTTATATCACTTGGTCTGTTACAATTTAAATTATGGCTGCTAGACATAGATATTCTAGTCTGCTTAACCAGAAATTAATTACATCTCTAGGCATCTTCAACATTTCAGGAACACACACTAAAACCCTATCACATATAATTACTCACACTATAATTACTCACACTATAATTATTCACAGTGTAATTATTCAATGTATAATAAATTGATTTCATTTGGGGGTTAGGTTGTTTTTTTTTTCCTATTTAATAATTTTTCATGGTTGAGCATGTTACTTTTTGAATGCTTTTTAAAGAAATACTTTACATTTTTAAACTTTTCATATTTTAAAGATACAGTGTTGAAATATTTGTACCAAGCAGTTGGGATGCATTTTTTTTTAACAATTTCTCCACAGTCACTTTTTTCACATTTATATAAAAAAAATTATTCTTTTTTAAATGATTCCACAGTTTGAAACTTTTTTCTTGACTTTTTTTTATACAAATATTTGCTTTCCAGATATTTCTTCAAATAATTTTAGTTTTTTAACCTTTTTCACATAATTCACATAGCTTTTTTACACAATTCACTTAACATTTTTCATGTGATTCACAACCTTTTTTCTCACATAACCTTATTCCACATAATTCACATATATTGTACCTTTAATGAACTGTCAGTCGTTGCTCTTTTGCAAATGACCAATGAAGTCACAACCAAGTGTTTTTATAATGGGGCACCTATTTTTACATAATTTTTACTGATAATGGGGCACCTGTCACTATCAACAATTTTGCATTTTGACTTTCTGACACTATATTTTTTCTCGTTTTTGTGTACCTGTTGTTGTTGTATCTGCTTGTAGAGTGCAGCTGCACGAGATTTTGTGCCAATAAGTGATCCTCCTTCTTCCCCCTGTGATGTTGATGATTTACATCCTGTTGTGAGTAATATTTCTCTTTTGTTGTCCTGGTAACAGATTCAAAGAAATTATTTGAATGCATACTTGACAATATTTACACTTCAAATAAATTTGTATAACATTTTCAGCTGTGAAAAATTTTAACAGGAATATTATTAAGCCTCTTCTATTCACTATGCTAACCCTAACTTTTTACTTATTCTACATATAATATATAGTGTTTTTCTAGGCTTATAGTCTATATACAAGTATTATAGTGCTGTGGTCATGTCTAGTGCTTACAGCCACTTCCTGACATGATTCTAGAAAATTATACACTATAAATCTTTTAATGTCACTCTTTTTAGAAAATTTTATTTTTTGAATTTTGTGTACAGTTCTGCTAACAACATGTACATGTATAATGTCTAGTGGTCACTTGATCATCTCTTTATATTTTTTCTGGAGAATTGTGCATAAAGGGAGAGAATGAAATGCCCCTGGGCATTCTGTTAATATTTCATGCAATGGCAATATTAGAGAACACTATAATTATTTGCTATTTTTGGAGAAAAAAAAAACAAATAAAGGATATGTTTGAAATACTTATTTGCTTTGATGATTGAACTCTGTTCTCAAAGACAACATTAATCCTTGTTCTTAATGTTTGTTTCTTAAATCTTTTAATTTGTAAATCATAAAAAAGCGTCATATCAAAAGTAATGCTGTGCTTTCAGTATATGTCGTGGTATATTTCTCAATATTATTTTTAACCTCAATGAAAAAGAATGTCAGTTATAATTAGGAAATACCAATAAAAAGTACACAAGGTTAGTAAATATAAGAAGTATTATTATGAGAATGTGTTTAAAGCAAACGAATACAGATTGTGTAAATAGACTTATAATTAAAATAGTTTTAAAAGTTTTTCCTTCATTATAAGCACTAGATAATGAACATATGAGCCGCGTCAAGACAAAACCAACATAGTGCATTTGCGACCAGCATGGATCCAGACCAGCCTGCGCATCCGCACAGTCTGATCAGGATCCATGCTGTTCGCTTACAAACCTATTACAAGTAGAGAAACTGATAGCAAACAGCATGGATCCTGATCAGAGTGCGCGGATGCGCAGGCTGGTCCGGATCCATGCTGGTCGCAAACATACTTTGTTGGGTTTTGTCCTGCCGCGGCTCATATGCGTTTTCTTAAGGCCAAAACTGAGACAATCTTGTGTTTCAAAGAAAATGTCCTAACTTCTGACTCCTATATTATGACTCTTTAATTTCTGAATGGCATTTATAATGCTGATGCCCATTACACATTGTAAATAAACGGGTGTTGTCATTGTATTTCTTAATATTTCTCAGGAGAATACATTTATTTACAGGCTACAGTATTTGATTGTATACTGATTATAAAATGTTAATTGAAACGGTCTTAAGTTAGTCTTAAAGTTTGTTTCATATATACACTAAGGACATTCTTTGAAACATAGCCCTATTCTGTAAAAGATAAGAGCACTAATCTCTACAATGTCAATTAGTTGGCTTAAAAAGTGTCAATACCAAAAGTACCAGAGGCGAAAAAAGTTATATATTTCATGCAGTAGTCTGTTAAATTTAAGATCAAGGGACATATCCATAGCACTGTAGGCAGATTAGAAGTTTCTATGTAATCACAGTGTAAAATGAAATCACTGTATCATTTACTGCATTAAACATGTATGGGTTATTGTGAATATACAAGCACATTCACTGTATCATTAATTGCAAGCAGACACAATCCATTTTATACATGTATGATATTGTCATCTTTTATATCATCAATTGTGATGAAAGGGTGTAGAAGTTTTACTACACAGTGATACAGCGAACATAACAAATCAAACTAAAAGAACGCCATTAAGCTTTTATCGTGTTATCATTACAGTAATGATAATTGTGTTATGTTGTTAACGTTTATCATAATTATCATTTCTCCTTTGTTACAGCATGATTTTCGTGTTCATCAAACTGACGACGAGAGTAGAGAAGGCGCTGCTGATGATGAAGATGACGGCGATGACGATGACGACAAATCCACGTCACAGCTTCCATCGTCTCCCTCACAGACTGATTTATATTCAAATAAAAATTTGTCTCAAAAAGAGCCTAGTGACTCTGTAGTGGTGGCAGATTCTTCGGATAAGCTTGTCGTGGATATTTCGGATATAGACAGTTGTAAATATCTCCAAATAGCATCTTTAAATAGCTGGGATTATCCTATTTTTGAAGCGGCTAGCTTGCACAGTAATTGTATACTCAGCAAGGTATGTATTATAGGAAATTTTTCTTTAAATGATATTAACATGTTATATTTTTAAGCAATAGTTAGACGCTAATTAAGAAAAATTAAGTGATTTATACAACTCAAAAGGTTGCACCTTAAGAATTGGTCCAGGTAATCAACAGGGCTGGGAATCAAAACTGCGTCGTATCCTACAAAATGTAAACAAACGCCGCCATCTTGGAACGAAAAACGTATGTTTTTGTTTATAACTATTTTTGTTGGAAATGACTGAAAACCAGATATATGTATTAACACGCTACACTATTTTCCGCTTCGTTCGGTATATGTTGCTTGCACAACTATTTTGTAAAACAAAAGTTATAGCGAACTTGCAACTCGAAGCGGAGCAGAATTTTTGTGAAAATGTGTGGATACGACGCAGTTCATATTGCTTTATCCATCGTTTTTTCCTTCAAATAAATTATATACTCATTTCAGAGTTTACCATTAACTTCGAAATATAATTTTGCATCATTTACTAAAATTTCATTAGAAAGAGATGTTTATTTTCTAAGAAAATAATGATTTTTACGAAATGATACGACGCAGTTGAAAATAAAATATGATACGACGCAGTTGTATTTTTGCAGTCTTTTCAACAGGGATAATTTTGGCAATATATGTCTATTTTATGGAATAATCACTTGCGCTAGATAAAAAAACCCAGATTTTTTGCGGTGTATATAGCGATGTTCTGTTGCTTTTGATTATTTAGAATACATTGTGTCGTGCCCAATATAACATTTAATTTGAAAGTTTACATTGCGGAAGCTACTTCACAGTTAAACATGAACATGTTATTTAATTTATCATAATTTTTAGCTCGACTATTCGCAGAATAATCGAGCTAATGCAGTCACCCATTTGTCGGCGTCGGCGTCGGCGTCGGCGTCCCTGTGGTTAAGTTTTTGTATGTAAGCTGGTATCTCCATAACTACTGAAGGGAATGGATTGAAACTTCACACACTTGTTCTCTGTGATTATCTAAGATGATTGGCACAAGTCCCATAACTCTGATTTGCTTTTTTTCATAATTATGCCCCTTTTTCGACTTAGAAATTCTTGGTTAAGTTTTTGTATGTAAGCTGGTATCTCCATAACTAATGAAGGGAATGGATTGAAACTTCACACACTTGTTCTCTGTGATTATCTAAGATGATTGGCACAAGTCCCATAACTCTGATTTGCTTTTTTTCATAATTATGCCCCTTTTTCGACTTAGAAATTCTTGGTTAAGTTTTTGTATGTAAGCTGGTATCTCCATAACTACTGAAGGGAATGGATTGAAACTTCACACACTTGTTCACTGTGATTATTTAAGATGATTGGCACAAGTCCCATAACTCTGATTTGCTTTTTTTCATAATTATGCCCCTTTTTCGACTTAGAAATTCTTGGTTAAGTTTTTGTATGTAAGCTGGTATCTCCATAACTACTGAAGGGAATGGATTGAAACTTCACACACTTGTTCTCTGTGATTATCTAAGATGATTGGCACAAGTCCCATAACTCTGATTTGCTTTTTTACATAATTATGCCCCTTTTTGGACTTAGAAATTCTTGGTAAAGTTTTTGCGTGTAAGCTGGTATCTCCATAACTACTGAAGGGAATGGATTGAAACTTCACACACTTGTTCTCTGTGATTATCTAAGATAATTGGCACAAGTCCCATAACTCTGATTTGCTTTTTTACATTATTATGCCCCTTTTTCGACTTAGAAATTCTTGGTTAAGTTTTTGTATGTAAGCTTGTATCTCCATAACTACTGAAGGGAATGGATTGAAACTTCACACACTTGTTCTCTGTGATTATCTAAGATGATTGGCACAAGTCCCATAACTCTGATTTGCTTTTTTACATAATTATGCCCCTTTTTCGACTCATGAATTCTTGGTTAAGTTTTTGCATGTAAGCTTGTATCTCCATAACTACTGAAGGGAATGTATTGAAACTTGAAGAGTTTGTATCTTTTCGGACAATTTTATGTATTCATATAGGTAAGCATTATTATACTCAATGAAACACCTTTGTGACAAATTTTCGAATAGTCGAGCGTTACTGTCCTCCGACAGTTCTTGTTTGAAATAATGTTCAATATTATCCCTATTTTTTGGCATATAAATATATAGAAGTCTATGAAACTGAATTTATTTTGGCTAGCTAAGCTTTAAGTAAACTGTGGTTCTGCTTGTTCTGGGTAATGACTGTTTTTTTTAGGTTTGTCTCTACACATTAGCTTTACTGCGGGCGAAGACCTCAGATGTGCCTTTGTGCATTATTTCAGGCAAAATGTTGCACCGGCAGAGAACCATCGACATTTTGAAACTACATGTAGCTTGATAGGTTTCCACACGAAAGAATCAAAAGTCCCTGGTGGTTTTCGAATTCATAGCAGTTCAGTTCAAGTGGTTTAAATCAGTAAACATAAACAGCTCAGCTTCGATCGAACACCTGTCTGATTTTTTTTTCAACAATTTGTTTACGTCAGCTGTACAAATAAGCAGTTTTAGTTGTTTTTATTAATTTCTGGCGATTATAAATATTTAAATTAATTATAATGACAATAAAATTTTACTTTCTTATTGAAATGAAATATTTCCTTTATCTCTAAAATTATTTTTACTTTGATATTTCGATGCGAATAGCAGAGAAATTTTCAATGAAATTTTAACCCGCTTTGAAGTCATTTTCTGAAAAATTTTGTTTAATTTTTCAGGCAATTCATTTTCAAATAAAAATCACACTTTAGTTTGAAGGTATGTTTAGTGAAAATTTCTTCAATACTATTGAAACATCCTATAGCAGTTCAGTTCAAGTGGTTTAAATCAGTAAACATAAACAGCTCAGCTTCGGTCGAACACCTGTCTGATTTTTTTTCAACAATTTGTTTACGTCAGCTGTACAAATAAGCAGTTTTAGTTGTTTTTATTAATTTCTGGCGATTATAAATATTTAAATTAATTATAATGACAATAAAATTTTACTTTCTTATTGAAATGAAATATTTCCTTTATCTCTAAAATTATTTTTACTTTGATATTTCGATGCGAATAGCAGAGAAATTTTCAATGAAATTTTAACCCGCTTTGAAGTCATTTTCTGAAAAATTTTGTTTAATTTTTCAGGCAATTCATTTTCAAATAAAAATCACACTTTAGTTTGAAGGTATGTTTAGTGAAAATTTCTTCAATACTATTGAAACATCCTGTCGTGCATACATCTGTATCAAATTTATCGGTGCAAAGCGTAAAATACCTTTGCAAAACGGACACCTTCTTTACAAAAAAATTTGTAGTTTTATCATTTGTAAATCGATTTTGAAAATTTAAGATTTTTAGTGGAGAAGAATGATACTTTAGTGCAAAAATAGAAAATACATTCCGTAGACCTGTTCTTATCGGCGATAAAGAAATGCAATACGACAAAATCGGCGCGCTGAACATAAAATGACTGAACGGAACGCATACCCTATATATCGTAGCTTAACCATTTAAAATATATTTTAAAAAATTTAATGTCCAGTTTCAAATAATAAAGCTCATCTGTTCCCACCGATTATTAACAAAATGAATGCAATAAAATTGGCACGTAAATGACATAATAACGGAATTGCCGGAAATTGTTGCTAATTATAAGTAACAAAGGTAGGCATGCATACTTCTCTTCAGATAGCAAGAGACCTTTACAAAATTTGTAATTCTTTAAAAACAAAAACAAAACAAAAAAACAAAGGTCATTCCTGATTGGAGAGGTCAAGGAGAGGTGACCCTGGAATATTGAATTTTGTATCAAAATTCTGTAAATGAAAAAAGTAACCACCCCAATTTCGAACTCATGGGAACAAGTTTATAAGCATGCTTAGGCAACTCTAGAACACGTTGTCATATGGGTGTGCGATCTCGTGTTTCAATGTATATTGCATTTGATACAGCTTTCCGGAATTTGTAGATGCTTATGACAGGAACTAAAAATGCTACCGAAATATGAAGCCTTAATCGAATTTTTATTACATTTTCCATTTTAGTGGAACAAACCTCTGCTTTTGACTTAAGTTGTAAACAAGAAATGTTGTTGGACGTTATTAGCATACCTAGCACATAATTTAATAGCTGAACCAATATGCAGCCTGCAATGAAAATACAACTGCGTCGTATCATATTTTATTTTCAACTGCGTCGTATCATTTAGTAAACACCATTATTTTCTTGGAAAATAAACATCTCTTTTTAATGAAATTTAAGTAAATGATGCAAAATCATATTTTGAAGTTTATGGTGAACTCTGAAACGAGTATACAATTGATTTGAAGGAAAAAACGATGGATAAAGCAATATGAACTGCGTCGTATCTACACATTTTCACAAAAATTCTGCTCCGCTTCGAGTTGCAAGTTCGCTATAACTTTTTTTTTACAAAATAGTTGTGCAAGCAACATATACCGAACGAAGCGGAAAATAGTGTAGCGTGTTAATACATATATCTGGTTTTCAGTCATTTCCAACAAAAATAGTAATAATAAAAAACATACGTTTTTCGTTCCAAGATGGCGGCGTTTGTTTACATTTTGAAGGATACGACGCAGTTTTGATTCCCAGCCCTGATCAAAGAGTTACACCATGGTCAGGGGGAACAAAAGTGGAAGAATTTCTTATCTGTTGCAGATGCAGTTTAACCAAACTTTTAATATTGGAAATTCAACTCTAGCTGTTGTCTTGAATGATGAAATATGCTTTCAGTCTCAATTCTTAACATGTAGCTAGTATTGTAAATTGATTAAAAACTGTAATTTCAAACATTGAACATCTGAGAGTCCCAGGTTCAAGTCCAGGTCAGGCTGCACATTTTTCTCACCCTGTGACACAACTTTTAAATTTGTTGAAAATGGTTGTGATTTGATGTACAATGGTTTAAAACATCCTTTCCCATCAAAGGATTCAGCCATTGCCAAAAGTATAGAGCCAGGCCTGACTGCAAAATTTAATCCAGTTTTGTCAGACCAGGCTCTAAACTGTGGACTAATGTTAAATTTTCATCTTGATACCACAAAATTGATAATGGACAGTTCCAAAAATGAAAACCTAGAGTAAAGGTTAAGAAAGTAATGCCATACTTTATAGAAATGTATAGAACCCTTTAAAAGGCAATGTTAATCTTAAATTAGTACCGGAAATTATCCTATCATGAAACTAGTGACGCTGCTTAGCAATTTGATGTGTCAGGGATCTTAATTGTGACACTGACTTGACGAGGATGATAGAATCTAACCCCAATTAGTGATTACATTACTGGCATTGCCTTATATGGGATTAGTCATTAATTTCTGCAGAATAACATAGAAGCTTTGACAGAAATAGAAACTGATTTGCATAAAATGACAGTGTCACTGAGAACAAGTTTTGTGATAAATTGTTCTATACCATAACTGATATTGATAGAAAAATTATTTACAGTATACCAAGTAATGTTAAGGCTTTGATGGTTCTAAGAACTCCACTGAGGTCCAAAGGCCTGATATTTCTTACAAAGATCAGCTGGGACACTTAAAACAGGAAATTAAAAAAAAAACACAATGACAGAAATAAGTTGATCATGCTGTTCTTTGTCCAATTTGTGTGAAAAGCATTGCAACACTTTTCAATTTTTGTGCATTTTTCTGAATTAGAAAAATTATTCTGGAAAAATGGGGTGAGCGAATTGTGTGAAATTTTGGTCTACATCAAATAGAACATGAATCTGGAAAAAAATTATTTTAAATCCTGTATTATCAAAAGCGTTAGTTAAGTTCGTTTAAATGTTTACTGTTGATAGAAAATATTAGGAAATGGCAATGCAATGCAAGTTTAAACATCTGAAACATTGTTGGGATATAATTGGTATATAATAGTAACAGAATTATTCAAATTAATGCCATGAAAAAGTCATTCTCCTAACAATAATTTCTAATGTATTGCAGGTTCTTGTGTTTCATTTAAAGTAAATCTAACTTTCTTGGGACAATTTCAGTTTAAATTATGAAAATTATTCCTTGCTCCTATGAAAAATATTTAGCAATCTTTTATGTTTTCCAATAAAATTTGAGCTTTCTTCAAGAAAATGATTAACTTTGTAAGTACATGTATATTCTTAAAAATGTAGGTTTATGGTAAAGGTTGAGATTGAGTGACTGAGTGACTGTTCTCTCATTAGTGGGACCGTTTTCTGTGGGAAAAATTGCTTTTCTCCCTCGATATCAAAGAAACAAAATATCAATTGCAAAAGGAAATTAGAAATCTAAGAAGGCGTTAGAGTGCATGGATAAATGGGTATCGCATTATTTAATCTGAATGCCGTCTTACGGACGCAGTCTAATAGAAGAGTAATCAGTCAGCGAACATCTTTTTTACATTTAGTAACAAAGTCATGCATATTAAATGCATCTGCCGTCTATGTCGCCATTTTCCGCATGAACACGATGCTTTCGGAATGGCAGTCTAATTTGGCCCTGAATTAATCGGATGCAAATTAATTGCTACTTACAGCAAACGGAGGTTTTTCCTGGACGTTTGTAATGAAGAATTTCTCAAGTCAGAGTATTAGATTGAGGGGAATAGTTTTCGGTAAAAGGGGAAGCGAGCTTTTAAGTCCTCCTTGCAAACCATAAGAGGGATTGAATTTAAATTTTTCCCGCCTATCTTATCTTCCATTGCAACTAATTTATCACTTTATAAGTAGATAATTGAGCCACGTCATTACAAAACTAACATAGTGTGTTTGCGACCAGCATGGATCCAGACCAGCCTGCGCATCCGCGCAGTCTGATCAGGATCCATGCTATTCGCTATTAGTTACCCTACTTGTAATAGGGTGGGTAAGCGAACAGCATGGATCCTGTTTAGACAGCGCGGATGCGCAGGCTGGTCTGAATCCATGCTGGTCGCAAACGCACTATGTTGGTTTTGTCATGACGCGGCTCAATTATATTTTAACTGTTATTAATTTTGGATGAAAAGGAAGAATACAAAGAAACCACACATCATTAATCGTTATTCATTTTGAATGTTTAATTGTAAATAATATTTTCTTTCTTGCAATGTCTAAAATTAAATCCTGAATTAATTAGAACGCTACAGAAGAGCAGATTGGGTAAAAGAGGCTCTACAATATTATTGCTTAAACATGATAAAACCATACAGTTTCTATTTGTTTAAGATTAACATGTAAATGTAATTCATTCATTTATTTTAGCCATACAAGAACACTTGCATTTGCAGATTAAATTGCAATAACCATAGGAAAGTGAAATTCTCTGTACAAAGCATTGATTTTTTTGCATAGTACATTACACTATTAGCTAATACACTCGCAGGAATTGCTTTGTATATTATTAAGACACCTGAGGCCAAAACTTCTCTTGCTAAGAATTAAGTGTTTCTGTTTAGCGGAGAGAGAAAAACGCGGTAAGGAAAGTCTCATGAGTGAGTTACAGGGCATGGTTAAACACTATGTCAATACAGCATCTCTATGGGGACATCCTGCATGCAAGAAAACGAAGACGATTATCGAAATTACTTGTCAAACTTATCTCTGTAGATGACATATTGGTCTGGATACGTAAATTCAAACGTCTCGTGTAATCTTCGCCTTTTCATTGTCCATGATAATGTTACTGCGGAACCCGAATCTATTGTTTTCTTATTTAGATTTCTCGAAAGAATCAACCTGTACAAAGGCAAACATATGTAATGTATATAATGTGTACTTAAACTGTGTACAAGATGTGAGCTAAGGTAGTTTACCAGAGATGTATGTCTTACATCTGCAGCATACAGTGTACATGCCGTGTACTATTTCAAAAAGTACACAATATATATTACACAGGGGGATACTGGTACAATTGAGCTATCCAGTCAGTCCTTGATATCATACAAATTAAAAGGATAAAATATCCACACAAAAAAATATTCAGTATTAAAAGGTTATAGCATTAGATGCAATATTTTATTGCTCTTAAAATATTCTAATTAATGGCATTTACAGGAGAGAAAAACAATAAATCAATTGATGTGGAATCTTAAAATTTTAGATGATATAAATTGTGCAGCAGCCTTAAAATTGAAAACCGTGATGTGATTTAAATTTCAAATTTTATTGTAGTTTAAACACTTTGTGCAAGTTTTATGTAGAAAATTTGCAGTGCTCTATCCAGCATTGAGAAAAAGTGGAGCATGCTGCACCCCCTGGACAGCTCTTGTTAATGTTTCTGTCTTTGTGTATTTTTTCTTCTACCTGAGATATACCAGAAATGTGGACAATTATGAACACTGTGTTACAGGCTGTTTGTCTTGTCCAAGATTGTCAGAGATAAAATACTGAAGAGAAATGTCGAGGAGGGAATCAATATTTCCCCTGTGCAGATGATTATTATTGAAAGGCGTAGAAAATTGGAGAAAAATAATTGAGTTGTATAAGGACTGGACAGTAATGATCCATTCTATTCAAGGAGTTAACCTGGCTGAAATCTTGAGATATTGTACGGGCTTGGGCTGATTAATTAACCTCCCCCCCCCCCCTCCAAACAAATAAAAAATTCTGTAGATTTGAATTTTTTTCTTTTTTTATTAAAAATTATTTGGTAATTGAACTTGAGTTTTCAATATCATAATGCAAAAAATAAAGTGCAAATATGTATAACCTTGTCCGAATGCGCAAATTGGCATTCTTACTGGAATGATGTGATCTTTACTTATGGAATGCACTGTCTATTTGTTGAAATTTCTGATTTGTTGAAAATAAGTTTTCTACCGTCCTTTCCTAACAGAATGCTTTTAAGGGTGACAAAAAAAAGTGCTCTATTTCCCTTTAATGGAATTTTAATGACTGCTTGAATTGCTCATAAAAATAACTTCATATCCGATAAAAACATTTTAATTATTTGAATACATTTCCCAAATGCACATGAGATAATAAACCCAAATAACCTGCTGGAACCAAAAGTGATAAAACCTTTGCTGGAGCCCGGCTAGTCAAAATATATCAAGCCAAAGCTTGATTCTGAGATATTTTCGTTCTGGGGCATAATCTCGCTAGAGGCGAGATATTGCCCAGACACGAAAATAGCACAATATCTCGTCGCGCAGTACAATTAGTTGGACTAGAGCCCGGCCTGCACATTTGTGAAATCTGATCAGGCTCAATAATCTGTGGGAACCACAAGTGATATAAGCCTTTGCTGGAGCCCGGCCTGCACATTTGTGAAATCTGGCCAGGCTCTTTACAGCTGTCAGACTTGAACATAGTTTTAATTCCACATAGAGTTAAAAAAGTTGTAGACCTTTTATGTTGATACTGATGTGCTGTTTGATCTATGCCTGTGCTGGCTGCATAGGTAGAAGCATTGGCTGCCAGCAGGGTAAAGTTTGATTATTACTGATAAATGATTATGATTATGTTTTTATTTTTTCAGGTTGCATATAAGTTATTTATGGAGGTAGGGTTGTTTGAAACATTCCGGATACCAGTGGCTGCTTTCATGAACTACTTCCACGCACTAGAGCTAGGATATAGAGATAAGCCATGTAAGTCTTAAAACATTTGCATAGTATTGTTATAGCTAAGTGACGGTATGGCTGAGTAATTAACACGTCAGACTAGTATCTAAGGATCGCAAGCCGCATGGGTTCAAACCATGTCTTGAGCAAGTAATTCTTTCCTTGAGCAAGAAATTTTTACACTCATTGCTCAGTTCTGGTTGGTTCCAGGAACAGATTCAAAAGTATGTCTGTAAGCTTTCTACACAAACTAAAATTAATTCCGTATAAACCAAAGCTAAGTTTTGCTCTGGTAAGTAAAAAACCAGGAAAAGACTTTTTATCAGATGCTCATTAAGAAAACTTGTTGCCCTCTTAGCTCTGTAGAGAGAGAATAGGATTCATAATAGATAGGTTCTTGTTCGATCCTCTAGCGAGATGATAACCCTCTTGGGCAATTAATCTAAGAAATTGAGTCTTGGGATCATTTGAGCCGTGTCATGACAAAACCAACGCAATGCGTTTGCGACCAGCATGGATCCAGACCAGCCCGCGCAGTCTGATCAGGATCCATGCTGTTCGCTTACAAATCCTGTTGCATGAAGAGAAACTGATAGTGAACAGCATGGATCCTGATCAGACTGTGTGGATGCGCAGGCTGGTCTGGATCCATGCCGGTCGCAAACCCACTATGTTGGTTTTGTCGTGACGCAGCTCATTTGTCTCTCATAGTGGATTCAGACATTACATGGGAAAAGTATTCGGTCACTTGGGGAGAAATTGGTACATTGTAGTTATCCAGGAAAGCATTGTAGGTAGACTGATTGCCAAGATTCAACTAAAAAAATGTTAAAATTGGCGTAAAATTTGGTGGCTATGTGGGTTTAAACCCTGTCATGGGCAAGCCAATGTTTCCCTGTGCCAGAATTTTTACACTCATTGCTTTATACTAGTTGGTTCCAGGAACAAATTTGATAGTGTTTCTATAAGCTTATAACTTCCTACACAATCACAGTTAAATTCTGTATAAACTATTAATAAGTAAAACTAAAGGATTGTTATTTTCTCTGTAAAGAAAATGACTATTGGTTGACATATAAGGCAGACTTCAGGTCTCCTACGGTCTGGAAAAGAGTTAATATAATGTTACACATGAATCAGACAGCTTGATGGATGGACAGCTCTTAAATTAAATTAATAAAAACCTTAACGTTCTTGCCAGTGATACAAAGATGATATTTAGAAAATTGTTGAGTCTTAAAATTGAAATGTGAAATAAGAAAAAAATGACCGATTATGGAAAATTTGTCGTCGTTTTCTTAGTGGGCTATTTTATATTGGTAGTTTTGAGTTCTTTTACAATGTGAAATTGCAAATTACAGATTCGAAAATGGAAATGACACAAATTTTCGCTGTCATAAAATCTGCAATATAGAGACTCTTAAACAGATCTAAAACAGAAATTACTGATTATGGAAATCGTGTATTGATTTGGGAATCAGAGGCTGTTAGGAACCGTGTCATTATTCGTGTAATTATTCGTGACTTTTGAATAAAAAAATGTAGGTGTGAATAGAAAATGTCACAATTATTGTAGTCTTCATTGATCACCATATGAGCCGTGTCATGACAAAACCAACATAATGGGTTTGTGACCAGCATGGATCCAGACCAGCCTGCGCATCCGCGCAGTCTGATCAGGATCCATGCTGTTCGCTATCAGTTTCTCTACTTGTTATAGAGTTTGTAAGCGAACAGGATGGATCCTGATCAGACTGCGCGGATGCGCAGGCTGGTCTGGATCCATGCTGGTCGCAAACCCATTATGTTGGTTTTGTCGTGACGCGGCTCATATATCATTTTGATTTTTTGTCTTATAAAGTCTGATAAAAGGCTTTTGTGACCTTTAATAAGAAGACATACCGTAACATGAAAGTACGCATTTCCGGGAATTGTGTTTTGATGTTTGATGAATGATTTCCTCAATGACATGGGCAAGAGAAAGCCTTCTTAAATTTACTGGTAAAAGCTAAAAGCATTCCATAGTAAAAACGAGGAACATTTTCTTGAGGCGGAATTCATTTCATAGAATTAACAGATGAAACAAGGTGGTTTGAAGTTGAGAAAAGAAACCTATGGAAATTTTTTCCTCATCAATAAAATTTTAGGGTAGTATTTTACCTCTTTAATGGGCAATAGAGTGTCGCAAATGAGATTGAACTTGTGACCTCTCATTTATACAACATAAAATCTTTGTTTTCTCCAGAAAAATAAAAAAACAGAATTAAGTTCTATGAACATTTAATATAATTGTATCTAATCTTGTTTTGACAAACAAAATAATTATGTTCTTTAAAAAAGAGAAAAGAGATGTAGAGTTATCCCCCCCCCCTTTTTGTGGAGGGGGGTGGAAAGAAAGATCTATAAGTAATTAAAGTTTTCCCAATTTCATCAAAAAAAAATCCATCATTTTCATTTTAAAGTTAAAAAACTTGTTTTCAATTAAAGGCAGGTAATTCTGCAAAGCTGTTAAGAGAATTGTGCCCCCTTTTTACTAGACTTGTGCCCCCTTTTTTATTTTGCTTTTATTCATGTACACTTAAGCACTGATAAAAGTGGCGCTTGCTGCTCCTTGGTCAGCTCTAGTGCTGAAATTTTGTAATAAACTGTCTCTGATAGATAAACAAGACTGACCTTTGAATGGGACACATACATTGTAACATGAAATATTTCATTATAACAATACTGACTTTGTCATACAGACTGTTCATCCTTTGACATTATCTGTTTGAGTGATTAAAGAATCAATATGAGCCGCGTCATGAATGGGTTTGCGACCAGCATGGATCCAGGATCCATGCTGTTCGCTTACAAACCCTATAACAAGTAGAGAAACTGATAGCGAACAGCATGGATCCTGATCCATTATGTTGGTTTTGTCGTGACGTGGCTCTTATAATAAAATCAAGTAGCCAACGATAAAGAAGGATGTAAGATCGCTTTGATATGCCAGCTGACTTGGTACTTTATCAGTGTCATAGGTCAGATATAAATGCCGCCTCATCACACTTAAGGTTGATATTCTATGTTTGTGTAATTATAGATCACAATCGGGTACATGCGACTGACGTGTTACACGGGGTGTATTATATGAGTACACAGCCTATTCCTGGTTTTACACAAGTCAGCACCACAGATATATTTCCTAGGCAAGGATCCTCAAGTGAATCAGGTATGACTGAATTTTCATTTTTTGTCAATTGTAAACACCCCTATCCCCACCCTCGGGGCAGTAGTGGGAGAGTGGGGGAAATTTAGTTTTTACCCTACATCATTCTGTGCCCACCCTATCAGTTCAGTGCAGTGGAAACGGTTTGGCATCAAAATACACCACATTTCATCACCTTAGTGCAATAACTTCTATTAAATTTAGAAGGACATAACCTGTTACTGCACTAAGGTGACAAATTTAACTTTTAATAAACTTAAAAAAGTAATATATTCAATTTTTTTAGCTTCTGAACTACAGGTAATTTGAAATTTACAGTTTGTTTTTACTCAACTACTCGGTATTGTATGTGTACAATATTTTTAGTATATATTTCAATTAATACGTTAAATATGTTACCAATAATGTTTAATCTTTCCTTGTGATATTTCAAGAATGCGGTTTATTGGTAAAGAACTGGATTCCACCTGTAAAACCCAGTTTTTCAGTTCTGACAATCTTACATCATCCTTTATTGTTTTTATACAAAACAAAATTGGCAAGGTTGCTTTGTTGACATTAAAATTACTCTACCACAATTAATTATTTGTCTTTCATATATGACTGTATATCATACTTCATGATCATGTGACCAGATGTATATCTGATAAATCCCTCATTCTTGAATCTCATTGGTCGAAATTAGGTTCATGGATTTAGCATTGTTTGAAATCTGAACGGGACAACAAAAAATACGGCATGATAAATTTGATCTTGATATTATTAAGTACATCAATATACATGTAGACTGTGACCAAGATTTTATTTATCAATTATAGGGATATTACATTACTTCACATAATGTATTGAACCAGTCTGTGGAAGTAAAAATTGTATAAACTTGCAGACTTTGTGTAATGACTTTGCCTTAATTTTAGAACAGTATTGACTGTGACAAAAATTTTATATTACATTATTTCACATAATGAATTGGACCAGTATTGGAAGTAGAAATTATAAGCAGTTTAACCCTTAACCCTGCAGACTGTCTATAATGAATTATATAATATTTAATTATATTTATTACATAACCCTTGGCCTTTAAAACTTTTGGAAATGAATTTGCTTTAAATTTAGAACAGTTCATTATAAAATGAAGGGATTTCAATTTCAAAATACAAAAAATGTACAATCAATAGTTGAGTCTGGTCAGACTGCAGGGATGCGCAGGCTGGCTTGGCTCTATACTGGTGGGTGGCAAAGGCATATATCTTTTGGGTCAATAAAGGGAGACACAGGCAAAATTTTCATTTCTTCGTTTTGAATTTTTAATTCATTTATCTGTAAATGTCCTCAAAATGAATACACCAGGCAGTCACAGAAACAAAACATTTTTCCTTATAAAGAATAAAATGGTGGTTTCCTAAGTTGACCCACGTGGGTCAGGTTAGAGCATAGTTGTCACAGTGATATCTTGAAACGTTCAAGAACATGTCAAATGAATGATTTAGGTTTGTTTCAATCATACTATATCCACAATCTTCCAGGGTTTGTTCTAGTCACATTACTAGTTTTAAAACTACTTTGTGGTTCTGTCGGCGTCTAAATTTCGTTCAACATATATGTATAGATATATTTACGCTTCAAACCGAAAATATAAAGTATTTACAGAAATTCATGCCGGGACTTTTACAAATGTCACTTTAGCGTGATTCGAGTACAAAAGATGATTTTGTTATTTTTGTCAAAAATTGCCTGAGTTAACCCTTTAAGACTGATATCATATTACTTGACTAATATATATAGGACCAGTTACACCAGTCTAAAGGAAGTAGAAATTGCAACCAGTTTGCAAGCTAGCCTAATGAAATGTTAGAAATTCAGAGTGCAGTTAAGGTTTATTTTCCATTTCCTAAAGCATGCAAATCATTTGAAATGTCAACATGACTAGCATAAACTTTATTTGCCAAATTTCATCAAAGTGGCAACAGAGCTATTCACTTTGATATCTGATAAAATAATATAGTTAATGATATTCTTAATGGTTTTTAACTGGCTTTGTCAGGTTACAGAAAAATTGTCAGATTTTCTGAGTAATACATAAGTTTTCCATTATGACAGATTTTAGCCACTATAATAGACAGATATTGATAGTGAGTTTTGTCAGATGCGCTTAAATTGACAATGTTAGTTTTCACAAATAATATGATGGTTTTGTTTTCTTTGTCAAATTAATAATAATTAAGATACCTTTTGGCAGATATATATATGTTGCCAACTTTGTAAGATATTAACCATTGCTTGAAAAATTTGTCAGATAATAAGATCCCTGTTGGCAGATATACATGTTGCCAACTTTGTCAGTTTTTGGTCATTTCTTGAAAATTTGTTGCATACATTTTAGTAAAAATGCTATTGTCCGATTAACATATTGTAAGTATTGTTTGTAAAATTGTCAGATTGCTTTAAAATAATTGCCAATTTACAAAACTCATTGCCTTCAATTTTGACATCTTTTTTTTTATCCCCCGCCGATGGAATCGGGAGGGGGATATAGTTTTGGCGTTGTCCGTCCGTCCTTCCGTCCGTCCGTCCATCCGTCCGTCCGAATTTCGTTTCCGGAGTAGATCTCTGCAACTAATGGCTGGAATTCAACGAAACTTTATGGGAATGTTGATCAACATGTGAAGTTGTGCACCTGGGTATTTTCGTCTGGATATTTTTAGTATTTTTAGAGTTATTGCCCTTGACTTAGAATTTCGTTTCCGGAGTAGTTCTCTGCAACTAATGGCTGGAATTCAACGAAACTTTATGGGAATGTTGATCAGCATGTGAAGTTGTGCACCTAGGTATTTTCGTCTGGATATTTTTAGTATTTTTAGAGTTATTGCCCTTGACTTAGTAAAATTTTGTAATTTTCAACTTGTGTCGCATGTAACTCAAAAAGTATTTGACCTAGAGTCATGAAACTTTACAGGAATGTTGATCAGTATGTGTAGTTATGCACCTGGGTATTTTCGTCTGGATTTATTTAGTATTTTTAGAGTTATTGCCCTTGACTTAGTAAAATTTTGTCATTTTCAACTTGTGTCGCATGTAACTCAAAAAGTATTTGACCTAGAGTCATGAAACTTTACAGGAATGTTGATCAGTATGTGTAGTTGTGCACCTGGGTATTTTTGTCTGGATTTATTTAGTATTTTAAGAGTTATTGCCCTTGACTTAGTTAAATTTTGTCATTTTCAACTTGTGTCGCATGTAACTCAAAAAGTATTTGACCTAGAGTCATGAAACTTTACAGGAATGTTGATCAGTATGTGTAGTTGTGCACCTGGGTATTTTCGTCTGGATATTTTTAGTATTTATAGAGTTATTGCCCTTGACTTAGTAAAATTTTGCAATTTTCAACTTGTGTCGCATGTAACTCAAAAAGTATTTGACCTAGAGTCATGATACTTTACAGGAATGTTGATCAGCATGTGTAGTTGTGCACCTGGGTATTTTTGTCTGGATTTATTTAGTATTTTCAGAGTTATTGCCCTTGACTTAGAAAATGTTTGCAATTTTCAACATGTGTCGCATGTAACTCAAAAAGGATTTGACATAGAGTCATTAAACCTTATTGGAAAGTTGCTCAGCATATTTAGTTTGTTCCTGGGGTTTCGCTTGTGGATTTATCCAGTATTTGAGAGTTATTTCCCTTGACTTAGTAAAAACTGTTTCATTATGTTGTTATTTGATCCTTGAATCAACCAACTTAACAGGAATAATGATCAACATCACTAAATTACAGGAATAATGATTCACCTCACTGTGGATTTTTTTCATTTTTTTCAGTTTTGTTAGAGTTATTGCCCTTGAATTACAGTAGTATAAATTTGCAATTTTCAACTTGGGGTTTGCTTGGGGATTTATTCAGTATTTGTAAAGTTCTTGCCCTTTACTTAGTAAAAAGATTTTTAGTTTTCAAAAAATATTTGACCTAGAGTCATAAGATTGACAGAACAGTGGCGCGGACGGGGCACCCGTGTCCTATGGACACATTTCTAGTTTTTATTAAAGAAGAATTATAATGATTTGTTACAATAACATTTAAAAATATTTGAAAATTGTGAGATCCCTTCTTGATGCCTTGAAAATGGCAATGAAGTCTGGAGATTAAGATGTTTTTACATCTAGGTGAGCTATTGTGATCCCCCACCGTCCGTCGTCGTGCGTCGTCAGCAATTTCTTTAAACAACATCTCCTCAGAAACAAATGACTGCACAGCAACCAAACTTTACAGGAATGATCCTAGGGTGGTCCCCTGCCAAAGTTGATCAAATGGTTCCGGTCTGTTGCATAAGTAGGTCACAGGGCCAGAAAAGGAGTTTCAAAAATGCAAAATTAAAAAATCTTGTCTGAAAGTACAAGGCCTAGAGCTTTGATATTTGGTATATGATATAACCTATAGGTCCTCTACCAAAATTGTTCAAATTTTAGCCCTGGTACAAGGTTTGAAGGTACAAGGCTTCAAGTTCAAAGAATATTACAGTTTATGCCATGATTAATATATAAATAAAGCCTTATGTCTTCAGTTGTTGTGTTAATAATAACCAGTACTCGGCGGGGGATATAAATTCAACGAATTTGCTTGTTGATGAATGGAATGTTGAACGATTTCTTTTATTATGTTAATATCATGTGGAATCACCTTAAACTACTCTACTTGATTTCCTTTGATCATGATGAAACTCAGGTGCTTTGGAAGCAGAAAGAAACAATTATCCATGTGTGAAACCATTTCTTATTACATAGTTTGAAACAAAATACATTTTGCATGGCAGACCAATTAGATGTAAGTATTTCAGTTATTCGGTGAGTTTGTCTTTGAACGCAGCAAGAATTTCAGGTTGAGTGGGTTAAAACTTCAGAGATGATGTAAAAACTGAACATTTAACAGGTGTTAATGAAAACATATATGCAAGTGTGGAATAGTGAACAGGTTGAAACCTGTTAATTTTGTCCGTAAATTAAACCCCCGC